ACGTATAAAACTAGTACTAAGCGACATCATGTCCCTATTACTGAATGGGACATCATTAGTACTTTCGACAAATACTATGAATTCAGACTTGGCTTCCGCATCTTCAGGGTATCGCCGACAATAATCAGCGACCCTAAAGGGAGCGAAGGCATCGCAATCGGTATCGCTGCTTGTGCTGAAATTCAAGGACTCACCCGAATCCTTCTTTTTACGTTTTTTCACCATCTCTCCACATAAACACTTATATACAGACTAAATTTTACTTCTTTACAATAAACTAAACAAAAATTTGCAAATTATAGTATAAAACTATTTAAAATCGTTAAAATTTTCAAAAAGCCCGCGTCAACGTTTCAATTCCCCCGCTCTTTTTTTATCATAGACTTTTTTTTTGGTTATGTTCGTTCCGTTCAGAACAGGCAAAGAGAACAAAGCCCATACAGCCATGTCTTTTGTATTTTGTATCTTTAATTATTTTTAAATGTCTTAATCTCCTTTTTTATTCTTGACTCAAGTTTTTATATTAGGCCTAAGCCATGTCTTCTTTTAATTTTCTTCTTAAAACATTTTTTTTAATTTTAAGGCCGAAGCCATGTCTTTATTTAAAATATATTTTTTTGTCCTTTATCATAGACTATTATAGTCACACAAACGTCAAGCTCAAAGTAAGTTATTTTAATCATGTAAATCATAATTATTAACAAAAAAATTCAGTTCTATTTTCATGGTAGTGCTTTGTGAATAACGATGTTTTTTGTTTGATTACCTTGCGCATAGACAAACAAATCTAATCGTTATTATTATATTTTGTGACTATTCAATTGGTCGGGTCCGCGATCACTTTTTTAGTTTCTGAACGCGACATTAAATCCTCCAACGACGTATTCTGTGCTCCAATGCACACACGCACACTGTTTTGATAGATATGATTGAATTTGAACTTTGTGTAGCGGTAAGAAAGTGCAAATTTACTTTTTGACGTTAGGAACACACCTGCACTTCTTAGATAACAGTGAGTGCTTGTAAGTGAATATGAACTTTATATAATAGCAATAAAGCTCAAATTGATTCTACGTTTTAGTTAGAAAACGTTTGTATGTGAAAAAGAAAAAGGGTTGTTTTTAGGGTTTTCCCGGCAATTATTCGATTTTTTCTCCTTGGATTTCAACGAACATTTAAAAAAAAGAATTGTCCAAATTGGTCCAGGCTTTGTTGAGTTATGCGCTTACCAACACATTTTGCGATTCATTTTTATATTATAGACTAGCTTTCCGCCCGCAGCATCGCCCACGTGGAGTTCGGTTCTATCACGTTTCCAAGAGAACCTTTCAAAAGTCTGGGATAAAAACTATCCTATGTTCTTACTCAAGGTCAACTCTAACTCTGTACCAAAATTCATTAAAATCAGTTCAGTGGTTTAGACGTGAAAGCGCAACAGACAGACAGACAGACAGAGTTACTTTCTCATGTATAATTTTAATAGGGATGGTACAGAACAAACTCCGATACATGTATCGTGTTGTCAGATTATTTAGTTTTAATGAACCCTCTGAACGTCTAGTCGACGTCTGTACTCAAAGGGACTTCATAAAAATATTACAAGATACCATCACGTCAAAGGTAGCTTTAACTAGTGTCATTTGAAGTCGTATTTTTATTTAAAGCGATTTGAGTGAAAAACGCCGAAAGTTGTTGTGCTCGATGCGGATTTGAAATATATTTTTGTGACCAAAGACCAAAAATAACAAGAGTTGAGAAGTGTTTTAGTGGTTAATATCCATTAACAAACTCTTATTATTACCAAGATCGAGAGTATATTTATGAAATAGATTGTTAAACCTTTAGTCTGTGGGGGAATAACATTTGACTTTGTATTATTTTCAGAAATTTCTTATCAAGAGGCACCAAGATAGATATAAAACCAGTCAGTTTATAGGCCAGTGCAGATGCCTCTAAAAATGATGAAAAGTGAAAATAAATTATAGTAGAATGAAACCCATTAGAAAAGGAGGGGAATATTATAAAAATTAAGGGAAAAATAATTTACGGGCGATCTGAGGTCGGGAAGGGTACGGGCGTGGGTAAAAAATGGGTTTTCTCGATTTTCGGAAAAACTAAAAGTCCTAATGAAAAATGTTATATGGCAAAGTTGTAGGTAATAAAAAGATCTAAAACTTTTGCATTTACACTTTTTTCACATAACCTGAAAATTTATGTGATAAATTCGAAAAACAAAGTTTTTGGTTTTTTATTTTTATCTCATACAAAAAACAATTTTTTGCCACGAAATTTGGCGAAAACTTTCCTTTTGATGTTACAAATGGACTGTAATTTATTTGATTAGATATATTTATTTTTTCAGCTTATTTTGAATAAATACCTTAAAATCAGCCTCATTTTCAATCGAAAAATCACCCGTTAAAATATCAGCGTGTTTCAAAAATTTGGTGTGTTTTCTTTTCGTTGAAATCTCTATTTTCCGATGGTGAAGAAATAAATGTAAGTTTCTTACTTACAGTACCATTTTTGGATGACAAGAGGAATGAGGAAATGACACTCGACATCGGTTTGAAAATGCTCTTTCTAATTTATTTTTAATAGTTGTGTACTCTGGAAGTTCTCCAGATAGTCCCTCTTTTAGGTAATTTACAGAAAATTGACATTAACCTGCTAAACTAGTACTAGTACAAAAGTTTTAGATCTTTTTATTACCTACAACTTTGCCATATAACATTTTTCCGTAGGACTTTTAGTTTTGCTGGAAATCGAGAAAACACATTTTTTACCCTTAAATACCCATCCCCATACCCTTCCCGACCTCAGATCGCCCGTAAATTATTTTTCCTTTAATTTTTATAATATTCACCTCCTTTGCTAATGAGTTTCATTCTACTATAATTTTAATTATGTTTTAAAAGCTATCGGCACTGGTCTATCAAGAAAAAAGGAAAAAGTTTATTTACTAGAAACGAGTTAATGCGAAATACCCAACACTAAATCATAATGATAGCATTGTTTGTTTTTTGTTAGTAAAATGAACTAAAAATTGTAAAATAAATTAACTTTAATAAGAAATATACAATTCTATAAGTTCATTGATCGTTACAGCTTACTGTACCGAGTGACGTCCATAGTCTGAGACAACAACACACTTGAAGAATAAAACTTTATAATACATATACCTAATAGTTATTCATATTCCCGTTTTATATCAAAATGTGGTAGAGTCTAGCTGTAGTCAGTTACTACAGCTCGAACATGGGCTGGCTCGACCGGGGAAGTACCACCCTCTCACAGAAGATCGGCGTAAAGTAGCCTTTAACGGCTGCGTTTCGTTCGATGAGTGAGAGAGCCGGTTGCCCTTTCCCTATTCCCACCCTTTCCTACCATTTCCTTATTCCCGCCCCTCCCTGTCCCTAAAAAACAAGGTTGGCAACGCATCCGTAACAAAGATGTTGCGGATGTCAATGGGCGACGGTAACCACCTTCCATCAAGTGGGCCGTCGGCTCGTTTGCCACCTTTGACATAAAAAAAAAAAAAAATTGTAACGGCGAGAGAAAAAGAAAAATGTCCAATGTAATATAATACCGTGTAAAACTAGTTAAGAATTTTTAAAATAATAATAAATAATAATATTTTTAATAAACAATAAAAAGCTTACGAGAAAAACACTTTCTTCAAGACTCTCCTTATTGTTGTATTAGATAAGAACTATAAAGTAGCAGTAGTGTGAAGTGTCAAGTGACCAACACATTAAAACGGGACACTGTAGTGGCTTGTTGTAGTTTTATTGATAAGAATAAACAAGACGAGACAAATTGAATAAAACCACAACTGTCTAAAAATAACTTTAGACAAAATATAATCATTAATATACGGATTTCATTGTAGCTGTCTGCATCAAAAGATATAGTTAGAAGCAAATCAAAACGAATGGATTTAAGTTTTTAATATATAAAATATTATTACTCATATAAAATAATGTCTGTTATCACAACAAGAATTATTATTACACATTACAATCCAACGGAACATTGCTTATAAGACTGTTTGTTTAACATTAGAGGTATGAATAAAACGATATCATTAAAATATTCAATGACGTTTATTAGTTTAAATTCTTAATTAATATTTGTATAAAATAAATAACAGACAACACAACGTGAAACATATTGATTGAAGAAAATAAATAAAGAGAGAGGGAGATGTAGAAAGAGAAAGAAGATGTGTTGTGAAGATGATAAACAACATGGATATGAAAAAAAAAGAGAATTATTAGAGAAAGAGGCAAGAAAACAAACTATAACACAACACACAAAGAAACAATAAGCTAGGAATAAAAAAAAAGAAACCAAAAGTAGAAAAACACAACCGTTTATTAATAAAGTAATTAAAATAAAAAATAATAATTTACAACAAATGTTAAAATGTATTATTTATTTTATAAAATCACAACAACGTTTAAGTATACTGAGTAGTTTTACTATGTATAATGTAATGTATATATTATACACACACATTATATAACTCGCCTCATGTACTCGCCTAATGAACGTGTATAAATATCTCTTTCTGTACTTTAACTATTTTAGTGGGAAGTAAATATTTGTTATATTATATTGATCGATCAAATCTTGCACCTCGAGTAGGAAGAAGCTTACTTGAAGAATCACTCTCATAAGAATATTTATTCTGACGTCGTTATATATACTTTATAATGTATTTAATATAAATAATGGCTAAGTTTGTGTATATGTAACTTTATATTATATTCCTATTTAAATATAGTTTTATCTTCTTAACAAGCGATAAAGATATTTTTAGACATAAACTATACTCTTCTAGAGGAGACATCTAATGCTAGACGATGGCGTGGTGTAAATAGGATCAAACTAGTCGTTTGATTAATATTTGGTAATTATAAATATAAGAGAGACACATTCATACACGACAACAATATTAAAATCACAATAATATTACATATAATATATTAATCTTCTCAGATGTCGTACACGTCACGAGGACTGAAACCGGAGTTCCTGAAATTGAAAAGCAAAAGCTTCAATTTTGAGTAATTACTGACGAAATGTCACAAAGAGTAATGATAAGAACACTAACAAATAAATAACATTAAGGAGAGGACGATTCATGTTTACAACAACAGATGGCGCTGATCATAACAACATTAAAACAAACATTGACGATAGATGGCACTTTTTATAACGAAACATTACAAAATCTGATAAGCCCCATATGTGTTCAATTTTGCAATTATTAAAGGATTTCTGTAGCAATGTAATGTTACAATGACTATAAACAATTTTTAAAACATAATTCCAGACATAATTTTCTAGTCTTTATTCATTATATATTGTCAAACAAATAAAACTTTGCCAAAAACCGCTTCACAAACTAAATGAAGTCGGAAGGTTATTACTTATTATGTATTTGTTACAACAAAATAAACAGAAAGCTTTTATATAAAGTCACTTAATTTTAATGACAGACAAATGAGTATTTTTACATGAAGACCTTTTATAAATGAACATCATAAAATACACTTTTCTTGCAAATAACAAATATTAATAGTGACTGTAGTGCTCGCGTGATACACTTTAAAGGACTTGGTAATATTTCACGGGTGTGCCAGTGATGATGCAGACACATAAAGTAACAGAAATAAAGCGTTGAAAGAAACATAAAGTACACGAACATATGCGATATGAGAGAAAGAGAGATCATACCCACGTGACTTACAGCGGTCACACGTCTGTAGTGCTCCTGAAATGATATTGACTTGATGAAGAATGAAGCTGAGACCGGTCAAGGGGACTCAGTGAGGTGACTGATAGAGAGAGATAGATGGAGGAGATAGAAAGAGATAGAAGAGAATAGTGTGAGAACCTCGACTTAAGAGTCGGATTAATAATGTCAAGAAACGATAGTTAATAGTGGTCAGTAATAGTGAGTAATCGTCGGTAATATGCGGTAATCTCGTCCGTTACCTGTCGCGGGCCGAGGGTCGCTCTCCACGAGGGTCGAACATGCCTTCTGAGAGGAAACTGTGGTTGGTGAACCCGAGGTCGGCTGGAAGATCAAGAATATGTGTTGATATAAAGATAATATATACACTACTACTAGTATTAATACTGATGTATAATGGCTAATATGCAGTAGTAAAATAGTCTTTGTATTCAGTGATAACGAGATGAAAAAGAAAAGAGTTTCTTTGTCACCTTTCTGTTTCTAGGATAGTTGTGTATTAAGTTTGATAAATTCTATTATAATTTAACTTTTAAACAGGAGACATCAATATCTCCCTTAAACCTACACCTGGGTCTCAAGTCCCAGTCACTGTTGAAGCTCCTCTCCCTACAACGATGGACCCGGCACACGCACCGTGAATACATTGAATGATGATAGGTTTTGTCGTCTTATATCTTATATCTAAACTGTTCGTTACCTTTATGTCCGGTGAAGTCCTCCGACCACTTGTAGTCCGTCTCAAACAGAGGCGGCAGGGTCTGGTGAGGAGTAGGGTACAGGTCCAGGGTTCGCTTCTCAGTCAGGCTGTCCGTGTCACCGTACACCGGCATCCTGCAACATATACGTTATAAACATTAAGGAGACGTGAATAAAAGAAACATAGTACAGGAGATGAGAAAACTCATTAAACTGCAAGTTGAATATATTACTAAAGAATACACAAATTTATGTATATAATACTAGTGTTTTCCCGCGACTACGTCCGCGTTAATTTTGGAATTAGTAATATATGTATAGTTGACCGGGCGAACTCTATTCTGCCCTAGAGGCTGTAAATAACCAGATATTGGAATTAATTAAGTTTCTTTTCAATTGAACAGAATTAAATATCTATCTCTCCACCGATTTTCAACCATATCCGTAAAGCCGTTCTTGAGCTATAAATAGTATAACTAACACGACTTTCTTTTTTATAATATACTAGAAGACCCGGCGAACTTCGTTTCGCCCTATAATCAAGAAATATCTGTTACGTTTTTTTATTTATATTTTTGGAGTTTACCTATTAAAGCCATAAATCTCCGTGTTTTAAAGTGATTAGGAATGATTAATAGTTAATATGAGAGTTACACTGAGCTAGCAAAATAATAATTGTCAACGTTACTACTACACTTGATGCACAAACAATAACGATGGCCGACAACTGTGTAGGGAGTGAGAGAAGTCTAATTGTGTGAGAGAAACAGAAGACCGGCTTCGTTCTCATCCCTACTCCGTGCTGTTTACTGGGTCAGAAGTGACACCTGTAGATATCTGGCGGGGATAACTTATTAAATGACGATTGATCAGTTATCGACCGGAGATGAAAAATGATTAAATTACTAAAATAGCTATTAAAAAATAAGGGTTGATCGTAGAAGGGTGAAAATTTAGGATTGTATGTATTTTTGTACGTTGTATCATAAAAAAATAGTAATTAAAAATTTTGTCTAAAAAATAAAAAATAAAAATTTAGGGGTGGACTACCCCTAACATTTAGGGGGATGAAAAATAGATGTTGGCCGATTCTCATAGCTACCGAATAAGCACAAAAAATTTCATCAAAATCGGTCAGGTTGTTTCGGAGGAGTATGGGCACGAAAACTGTGACACGAGAATTTTATATATTAGAAGATTATAGTCAATGTAAAGAATAGATTGTACTTGTGTTATTTTATTTATATTTTTGTTAATGTTCAATGTAATGTACTTTGAAAGAGCCGCGTATGCAATCTTAGCATCAAATGAATCAGTTCCATGTGGAGCCGACGCGGTGCTGTCTACTGATAAGACGTTTGGACACATTGATAAGATGATAACGGACCCGCGGGACCTATTCACAACTCGTACAGGCCTCAGACATTCAAACTTCACTTCACAAACACGTCATTATCAACTATTAAACACGCTATTCACAGTTATATGTCACAGTCAATATATAAAAGAAATTTAATTATTTTTTTTATAAAAATCAAAAATAGATTTTTGTTGAAAAACCCCTTTATATAAAGGTAGAAATATTATATCAATTTATCGTACGAAGATATTTTGTTGTATATTTTGATAATTCTATTCTTATTCGAATATTATACTAATGTATACTGTATTCCATATCTCAAGGTAGACAAAGCATGAATGTTATCTCATGTATGTCGTCGCTTCTGTTCCTCACCCCAATATATTTCGTCGTATTCAATAATAAACAAGGTAGTATTCCTTATTAATTCCTCCTCACCTGGTGTAGTCTTCGAAGCAGCTGAAGCGCCACAGACCAAGCGCCAACAGCGCTGCAGAGATAACAACACCAGCGGACACCACCAGCCACAAGGACAACACACCTTGATCATCAGGGATTTGATACTCCTGTAACAATAATATGAACTTATTAATGTAACTTATTAAGAACACACACACACACACACACACACACACACACACACACACACACACACACACACACACACACACAGTAAGAATTAAGACTTTCGCGAGTATTCATTTAATTACTTAGAAAGTATTTGTATTTAATAAATTAAATTAATATTTTTCGAATAAAACTATGCGTGTTTTCTTATTGTAAATACTCCATACTTCCGACGTTTCGGATACCTTTCAGCAACCGTGATCACGGGCAGACATTCACATCTCGTCTGTTCACCGAAAAAAATTAGTTTCGTTCACACACACACACAGCTCTAAACACTGAGATAGTTTGTAAAGAAGTGTACAAAATATAATAAAATAAAACACTTATTTCAAGTTAATTTTCTGACTGGTGTGTGGGAGAAACTCACTGTTTGTTATATGTGTCGGAATTACGTGAAGAAGAGACTGAACGACTACAGGAATATTAATTACAGCAGTTGGGGGAGGGGGGAGAGGGGGGTCATCGAGAATACAACATAGATGTATACAGGGTGACTGGTGAATTACTATCAATATTTAAGGAGAATACTCGGTACATGATTCTCATTCGAATTATGTAAAAAAAATAGGTACTTAATTTTTGACCAAATTTCCGTATAAATAAATAAAGTGTTGACACGTTCCAAGTGTTCCAAGTGTGGACGCGTGCGGCGGCGTGCTGATACAACACCACGCCGCCGACGCGTGTATGTGTGTGTGTGTATACTGTATACCTAATCTGTAGGGTGTTCACACGATGAGTAATTAATTACATAACTTTTGGTTAACTTTACTTAGAAGTTTATTAATATTTATGTTGTATTAATTTTTATTTTGTCATAATATATGATCGTCAAATATCACGTCCTCAAGTATCGATAGTAATTCACCAGTCACCCTGTATATACTACAACAACTATACTAAAGAATAATTCGTCTTTCGATAACAGTCTGTACAATATACTGTGACCTTCGAGCCCCAGACATTGGTCGGTCGAATACTTCATTTCCTTTCTTCATTTATAACCAGATATCAAAAGACCTTATAAATAATATCTGAAATTTATAAACGACAAATTTCATAGGTATGTATCTACATCTAGACTACACCCTGCTGTCTACACATTATCCTTCATACATCCTCATTACACATTTATACAAAGTTGTAATCTCGTGTCATATATTGAGTTTAGACCAAACAATTGTAATTTCTAAGAAATTCTGCCACCGACGTATTACATTTAAATATGATATCAGAATGAACCTCGATAACACCGACACTAAAGTAATAAAGATATTAATAATCTGGAAACATACTGCAAATATTATAAAAAACATCGTCACAGTGTTCAATACGAAAAAAGCGAAATATAGAAGTCACATAAAAAAACGAAACTAAAAACAGCAAAATACAAACAACAAAGTCTTATGAAAAAAAAACCATTGAATAGAAAGCTAAGACCGCAGAAATGTGACGAGAAGACGCGGCTAAAAACACCGCATTGAAGACGTCATCACGACGACAGAGAGATACTTACATACATTGTGTTCATAATATATAGAGAGCTTTAAAAGATGAACAGAACACTGAATGACTGGTTACTGATAGATTGATAGACTTCAAATATGTATGATATAAAGATTATACTCGTAAAGGATAATACATTATTTGATTCTGATACTTTGATAATAATTAAGGTGTACCGTCCGCTTTACCATTAAAGTTGTTCTATTTGATAGTAGTCAGTATGAAACATTATTACTATTATTAAATTTTAATTTTAATTCAATTAGTCACCTTGAAAAGTACTTATACAGGGTGACTGGTGAATTACTATCAATATTTAAGGAGCATACTCGGTACATGATTCTCATTCGAATTATGTAAAAAAAATAGGTACTTAATTTTTGACCAAATTTCCGTAAAAATAAATAGTGTGTACACGTTCCAAGTGTGGACGCGTGCGGCGGCGTGCTGATACAACACTCAGCCGCCGCCGCGTCTGTGTGTGTGTGTGTGTGTGTGTGTATACCTAATCTGTAGGGTGTTCATACGATGCGTAATTAATTACATAACTTTTGGTTAACTTTACTTAGAAGTTTATTAATATTTATGTTATATTAATTTTTATTTTGTCATATATGATCGTCATATATCACGTCCTCAAATATCGATAGTAATTCACCAGTCACCCTGTATATAATAATCAAAATATTATTCTTTACCTCAATCCCCAATCTCCTAAGTCTAGCCGCGAATGGATCCCTCTCTGAGTACAAGCTCCACATGTCAGTCAGGTCTTCTTCACTGAACCTGTTCCTCTCCTCCTCGGTCATATTTTCCCTCCTCACCTCATCATACACCAACGGAACTCCAAAACTCACTTCAGTACAGAGCTCGAACCTCGGCCACTTGTGATAACAGAAGGTCTTTCTTGTTATTTGTGTGATCTCTCGTCTGAAATAATATACAATTATATAAATACAGTTTATTATACATTCATATATTATATTAAACAAGATTATCAAGAAAATAGTTTTACGAGTTTAATCTGGCAGAGTCAGAATCCTAACACACTTCTATGATCTTCAAATACTAATATTGTTTTAAAGATATATTCGTACATTATAAATAAGTTAAATTAAATTCAAAGTAATTTATAAGGTTATCAAACGACTAGTTCATTGAATAATATAATATACCGCATACATTCCGTGTTCTGTTAACCAGCCGTCAAAGGTCTAAGCTAGTCCGCTTCGTTTTAACAGCACTTGGCTTGTTTCCAATCATTTGAGTTGGTTACTTCATTGCCAAAATGTTTCCGAGTTTATGTTTAAAGCAAAATGTACTTCACGGATATTGTTTAATGAACAATAATTTACAACATATCTTACATATATTTTATGAAATATACATATGTATATATACTTTATTTATATGTAATTTTTAAGTATTGTAAATAGTATTTCAAGTATTAGTGGCATTCCAGTGGACACTTATGGTTAAATACGACTTTCTTTATTTCAAATTAAATGGAACTGGGCGAAAGTTTATAAAAGAACATAATAAAGCATACAATGAGATATATTTTTTATAAATAGATCAAGTATAATATAAATATATTATATATATATATATATATATATATATATATATATATATATATATATATATATATATATATATATATATATATATTTCAATCGTCATCTTTCTTATCTTACTGTATCTTGTAATCTAATCTTCGTTCCTAATTCGATACTTCGCACAATAAATGATAACGGAAAGTATGTATAACTCTTGAAACAGTTTCGTTTATATAATGACGTACACGTACAAAGCAATATATTGTGTAAACGACAACAAACTTTATAGTGTCAAGAAGTTCACATGTCTCATGAATATTTATAATACTTCATGTTGGGATTCTGTTACCCTCGCATGGATAAAATCTGATATATGTATATATATTTCTAAGTTTTAAAACTGTAACATATCACCCGTTCCATTTATATTTACTCTAAGAAAATGAAAGTTTCCTTTTTTAGAAAATACATAAAATAACATAAAATCTTGGCAAAAATAACCAACATATAAAGTCTTGTCTGTTCACTCGTGTTGGCAAACAACCAATTCAAAGAATCTCCCAGTCGACCGTCTTACATTGATCTAGACTACACACGATTCTAGATTTATTAACGTTTCCTTATATAATACTCAATAAATATTTAAATTATTAATTTCATAAATAACAACAGAAATAAGAAAAGGCGAAGAGATGGTTTGACTTTAAACATCTGAAACAGTTCTAAAAAATATATATTCCGTTCGTTCTACGATACAAAAGGAAATGATAAACAAGAGAGAAAGAATGTTATAAAGAATTTCATAATACAAGGACAAGAAAATAGAACTGGCTTCGATTTAATGTACTACTTTTATTATGATTTCTTAATATTACAAAGTCATTGTTGGAATAAAGATATGTTTTTTATAAAGATATAATAATCTGTTATCACTAACAATAAAGTCAACGTGACTAGTGAACCGAGTCGCGGGAAAAGGTTAGTTGATAATTATAATGTCAAGTACTGAATATATAAAAGTGTTATTTTAAATTGAGTTTTATTTTCTCACCTCTCACTGTTGTTTGCAAACAAAGAAGAGTGTGAAGATAATTGGATTCACGGAGGTGTGTGTATTAATAGATGTAGTGGAAATACAAGCATTCGGAACGAGAATAAATATCGCGAGAAACAAGCGGAGCAAGGTGGGGAGGTTATAGTAAGAAACCTCACGACACATGCTTAAATCTTATTACTTATGTTAAGATTTAAAATTACTTTGTTTATTATCTATTTAATTTCCAAAAACAATAAGTAGAATAACTATCGTCGTTCGTTAAAACGTATTTAATTTAAATTTTGTTTAATTTTTACGATTTCATTCTTTTTTAGATTAATTTTATGATACTGAATCTAAATCCCCAAATACTTTTATTAGTATGGCTTTCAAAGAAATAACATATTTCATTAGTACACACTATCATCTTATTATTAAACATATAAATCTTAATTTTAATAAAACATTTAAACTTATAGTCAAAGTATTATCTACATAGTAAACTTGTGTTACTCACCGTACGCCGCGGCCGGGGGCCGGCTGTTTGTTGTTTTTAAATCTAAATATTATTATTTACAAGTCTTCTAACGATTACATTATACTTTATAGGAAGAGAATATTTGAGACGGATTTCACTATAACGTTAGCTAGAGTTTGTTTGTACAGTTTATCATCTATAAGATACTCCTGAACCTCATCGTAACAGTCGTAGCTCGCTGTTCTTCAACCGATCCTTCTAATGTAAGCAGATTGAACCAGTCTTGTCACGTTATTTACATTTTATATTTCGATATGTTTCATTTCACTCAGACGGGCAGCGGGAGCCGATATCAAGATACTTTTATATCAAAATGAATATATTTGGCTAAATCTCATACAAGCTTCTCCTCGGTGAACTTGACAGGTTTATTTAATAAATATATATTGAGGTTGTCGCACTTCATCTTAGTCGTATCATTATTGTTATCATTAACTTTAGTTTCCTTAACATCTACTTCAGTGCGTCGTGAGTCGGGCCGGAGCTCGTTGTTATTATCTGGTTCCACTTCATCAGCCGTGTGTTTTCTGTCAGTTCTGTTGTTGGCAGCGTGCTCACTGCCGTAGTCGGTCTGTCTCTGCGGATAGTGATGTAATATTGCCGTGGTGTTGAAGGTTATCTTGCCGTACTTCACGTACTCCGCGGGCCTCTTGTCCGCTCTACTTGAACTAGGTGCACTTAAAGCCTTAACGTCTCCGTTCGGGGACCTTAGCCTAATGTTAGTGACGGGGCTCTGTCCCGAGCCTCCTTCTATAATATCTTTCGTATCATCTAATATTCCTAACGCGACGTTTCTGCTACGCTTCAAGTTTTCCATGTATACATTATAACGATTCATATCTAAAGTATTGTTTTGTTTCAGTGGCAACGAATTTGGCAATTTCTTTTGAGGTTTCTCCTCGGCCGTGTATCACAATTGTTTCTGACAGTTTAGGCTCTTGGTATTGTTTGATTCTTTGGCCGCAGCGGAGTCGCGTGCGGCGTGTGTTAGCTATGTCTGCGACTGGACCATCGATATACTGGTGGTCTCGGTGACGATGGTGGGCGCGGGGAACTCCTCGCTCGTGGAGTCGTAGATGGGGAACTCGCAGCACAAGATACACTTGAGGAACCTCGGCACCTCCACGTAGATAGCGGGTGGTATCGGTATGAAGGGTGACGTTGATGCTTTATAGTACAGATAGTCAGGGTTGTCTCTGTACTTCTCGTCCGCTGATCTTTCTAGTAATGGTATACCGGATAAAAACAATATTATAGCTGTCGTGAACAACGGTGACAGCACAGCGATGTACTCGACGCCTTCTATGATGTTCAATGATATTATAAATATCCCCCACCACAGAACGACCTCACCAAAGTAATTGGGATGTCGTGATAGTCCCCAGAGGCCGTCGTTGCACCATCTCCCCTGATTGGCTGGTTCCTGTCTGAATGCGAATTTTTGTAAATCTGCGTAAGTCTCAATCAACAATCCGATGACGAACACGCCAGCTCCGGCCGAGTCTAAGGTCGTCATCGTCTTAGGCGCCTTAGGGTATGAGTGATGCGGTGAATTTATAATGATGACAGGCAGACTGACCACATACACCCACACAGCTTGGAATGTATAAAAGACGGCGAACCTCAGCGTGTTGCTCTTCCGATCCTCGAACTGTTTGTCTCTGCCGATGTGATAGATCCTGTATATGAGGTACCCCGACAGCCTCACGCCCCACACACATATGAACGCGGTCACCATCAGCTGCCTGCTGTCATAGTTCTTGAGAGTGTTCCCGCCTTGGCCGAGGAAGAACGTTAATAATGCTATAATAATAAAATTGGCACCTCCCGTGAAATCTGTTACTTTATCACTCTGAGACAAAGAAGCGATGGTGAAGAATAGTATCTGCATGGCCACGGTGACTATAGCACTTACTGCGAAGTTGTTCCTATCTATGAGGGGCTCCATTTCAATAGTTTCACACTAAATTCGGGTTATTTGGCATTAGGGAATACTGACATTGATCTTTTGGCGCATTGCTGCATTTTAACACTTCTGTTTATAGCCTTTAGAGGTTATTATCGTATGACTGAGCGTGCTGGACATGTTTAATAGCAGTTTTGTTTATGAAAGTTACATTTATTAGCGTGGTTTTATGGAATCCGATTATTGTAAACTAAAGACCGTGTATTTGAATTTAAAGCGTGGCACTGTGAGCTCGACACGAGCGAAAGCTTGCTACTAAAATAGACATGACGTTTACAAGGCGCATGTTCACCGCGCACGCGCTTTACACATACTCATGATATGTATGGAATCTGATAATGCAGAGTTTGTCTGAACAGACATCTCTCTTGTTATAGTACATTACATACAGCATATATTATTATTAAACAGAATTTCAAAAGTTTGCAAGTTACTTGAACAGGGAGAACAATAGATTTATGACAATGAGGACATACGCAGTGTAAATAGGTGGGTGTAGTGCGTAGTGTCGCTCTAGATGTCATACGTCAGATAAAAGATATTGGAGAAAGAAAGCAGTACATTAACGTCATTGAAACAGTTTTTTATAAACAAATCACATGATACCTTTACGATAATAACAACATGTATTGACACTTCGAGACTACCTAGATACATATGCGTAAAAATATATGTTTGTTTTGAAAAAAATTTTTTCATAAGAATACATTAAAGTATATGGTTTAACTTATCTCATAAATTGAGCTCCTAATAATTATGTCTAATATCTACATGTTTTGTCTAGAAATCTTCTATATATATATATAAAAATGGATTGCTGTTCCTTAGTCTCGCTAAAACTTGAGAACGGCTGAACGGATTTATCTTATCTTAGTCTTGAAATGTTCGTGGAGGTTCAGGGAAGGTTTAAAAGGTGAGAAAAATTGATTCATTTTCGGGAAAACACCAAAAACAGCCCTTTTCTATTTCCCATACAAATGTTTTCTTTGACATTAGATTTGACAACTAACTAATATGTCAATCATTCTGTTCGATTGAAACAGGAAAAACCTGATTATTTATGGCCTCTAGGACGGAATAGAGTTCGCCCGGTCAGCTATACATATATTACTAATGATGAAATTAACGCGGACGAAGTCGCGGGCAAAAACTAGTATTATATATAAACTGCTAGTCGATATCAGTCGCTTATCAATATTATAATAAATAACGTCTTTACAAATAACAAGAGAGATATAATATAATAATACAATATATGTATATTAAAGTTATCTTAGTCTTTTTACAACACTGAAACTTTTCCGCTATATATAATGTATCAGTATATAATTATATATTGTTCAGTAATAATATATATTAGATTATAAAACAGAACCCTCGTTCTACCACAAGATACATATAAAAGTTATTTACAGGACTGACCGAAGAGAAAGGACATTTAAAATACATACATAACGTAAAATAGTATCGATATATTTTAAAACACTCCTCATTTTGTCACTAAACAGTTCAAATGCTATAAGAATGTATTGTATCTGATACAATGAACTAATTCTTCATTCCAATGATGCGAGTCACTCACGTTGAACTATGATCTGTTTATAGTTAAAGCGACACACAGACATTTAAATTACAAATATAAATTATTGTGAACGTAAATAGGTACGCGACTCATTTGACGCGTGGAGGTTTGAAATGAGGAATACTCACGTTGTATTGAGGCCCGCGTCGATTCCTTTAGTGTTGATGTACATGGTCGCCATGTCTGCTATGATGAAACGGAATTGTTCCTCGACCTGGTTGAAGTCCTGGAGAGAGATCCCGCCCAGGTTGACGGTGATGGTGGCTGGAGGCTCGGGAGTAGGGGGGTCTTCCTCGGGCTCTGGTGTGGCCTCTGGACGATCGACTGTAATGAAAGGAATTAATGTAATCATACAAGATCATCAGACGAGGTTTACCATAAAGAATCTAACAGAAGAGCTGTCATAGTACTATATATCCTCACCGACCATACGCGCGCTGAACTTGAAACCTTTGAATAACTGGTTCCCACGATTGGCCACGAAACGAACGAACATTTTATCGACGTCCAAGAATCTGTAGCGACGCTCGGAGCGGAGAGAATACGTGAAGATGAGGCCCGAGGAACCAGATGAGTCCACTCCACCTGAAATAGAATGTGTTGGGTATAATGGTGAAGATAATATAAACAACATAGGAGATCAAGGGAAGAATCTCATTAAAGCTGTACCTGGTTTAACCAACAGGTAATCTCCTAAGTAACCGTTGATGCTGAATTCAGTTATATTTAATTCAATTCCTTGCCCGGCTCCTTGGAACATCCAGTCCACGGTGTTGTTGGTGGGGTAGGGAGACGGGTAGTCGGGTGACGTCACTTCCACTGAACCGTTCACTGTCAGCCAAATGTTAGTAGCGTTAATGACATCACTCGCTTTAACATCTAGTATCGATGGATTGAGTTTTATGAACTTCATTATGGCGGCGTCCTCATCGGCTATCGACATTTCATTTATTTCTGGTTTCAGTGTTGTTTCTGCTTCGGTGGCAGACATGGGCTCGGTGACTCCAGAAGCCCTAACGGTCTCCGTGATCGTTGACTCTTCTGTAGTTCTGTCACTGTTACTATCACTTGTAGTGTTAATACTCTTTGATAAACTTCCGTCAACATCACTCGCCACTAGCGCATCATTAATGTAAGGCAGAGGTTTGTATGTTTTTGCTTGACTCGCTGTTGTCTCTTCAGAGAGTATTTCATTAGCAGCTACAATATCTTCTTGTTTACTTTTTGAACTCTTTTCAAATAGTCTCTCAAGTTCTGAGTCACCTATTTCCTCGTAGTCTCCGTCCATATCTTGTTCTTCATTACTGTCACTGTAGTCGTCATCAACGTCATCGGCAGCTTCGTTTAATTTTTTCCATGTTCCATGTAGTCTGTTCAAGTCCTGCATTAAATCACTATAAGCTTTATCGACGGTGTCTTCTTCTTCCTCATTCTCTCCTCCATCTTCAGGCGTTGTTATCGTTTTATTAAGATCTTCTTTAGTTTCAGAATCACTGTTCATTTCTTCACCGCCATCTTTTTTTACATCATCTTCAATCGATCCAGAATTTTCGTTTAAAATTTTTTTGGTCTCCTCAAAAATATGTCTGTTTTCAGTATCATTTACAACCTCCGCTCCCAATGTTTTATCCTGAGCGAAGTCGTTTACCGTCTCTTCACTTAAAATTGATTTCGTCTCCTCCAGAATATCTTTGTCTGTACTCGTTTTTGTTTCTGATACATCGTCAAGTAGTTCAGTCGATGCTTCGACACTTTTTTCTTTGTCATCCTCACGTTGTAAGTCTTTAAGTGGACGTGGATTAAATTCCTCACTTTGTTCATCACCGTACGAGTTATCATCATCAAATCTGTTATCTTCGAACTGGTAATCATCGAAGTTAGCGTCATCCTGATCGTCAATGTTCCTGTCGATCACGTACCTTTTTAATTCATCTTCAAACTTCTTTTCTTCGTTGTATTCATTTATATCGGACGAAAGATCGTCGTTGTCTTTGACTTCAGCTGGTAGGTCCTGATGTTCATCTGATACAGTACTTTTATGTAGCGATGTAAGAGGCGGAAAGATTTCTTTGTCGTCGATGTCTCCTAGGTAGTAATCATCGTACCAGCTCTCCTTCTGTTCACTGTTATCAGCTAATACTGAAACAAACAAACGTAGCATCATGATGATCGTAACGTGATTGTCACGTTTAAAAATTTTATTAGTAGGGAAAGATATAATAGAATTCAAAACAAATTACATTTCAAAAGACAGCTATTTTTTATTGAATGTATCATTTATTGAAACTAACTTTAAGATAATAATTATCAAACTTATTTCTTTAACATTTTATAAAAAAAAATTAACAAGTCCTGAAGAAACAAACAGATCACTTGACAACTTCATGAATATAAAATATATAAGGAGGCTGATTACTCTACCCAGGAGATGTGAGATGATACATATTAGTTATAATATATCTGTTCAATATTAAACATGTTTGAAAGATTTTTCTTACATTTAAGTTTCTTTCAAATGCTTTTACTCATTCGTATTGCGATGTGAATATTTTAGAATATTATCAGTATCAGATATTTTGATTATCTTTGAATTGTTTTAATATTTCATAGAAATATTACAGACGATGCGTGTCAGTTATAAAATATTTTATCATCAATGATAAGGAAATGTATGTACCGCTGGAGAGTTTAATAATAAAAATAAAAACAGGAATACTTCTAAAACGTTAATTTAATATTTATTCTAAATCACAATCAACGTGATTATAATATTCGACGACTGTACGACTGGATAGAATTACACATATGTAGTAGAAAAGAAATACTCGTATAAAGAAATTCAAACGTATGAGAAGTTAGTGTTAGTCACTACTAACTGTGTTCACTCACTAGTGAACACAGTAATATATAATAACTGTAATATATTAAAATATATTCGCTTACAAGATTGCGAGAGTTCAACAATAAATATAATTTGAGGACCTAGATTCATATGATTTATAAGAGACGTGGCGCAACGATCACAGCTCGGAAATAACTTTATTGAACACACATTATAAAAATGCACGAATATCTTGAAAAATGTTAAAAATTATAGTTTCATAATCTTTTAATAAACGGTCAGACTGAAGTCTCATGTAATGTTCTTAATGTCCAACTTATTTTATAAACTGTAAGTAACCACACAGTACATATGTTATTATTATAGATGGTGCAAGCTTTTCCTCTAGTGACGTATATGAAGTTATTGCTTGACGTCATCTTCAGTCGTGTGACTGAAAATGGTGTAAAAGACACTATGTTCCTTCTCAAATAAATTGACAGATTCTAGGTTCGTTTAAAATTCATTAAAACTTTAAATAAAAAACCAGAAATATACAATGAAAATTTAATAAAGATGATGATTTGTAAATTTACTAAATTAAAACTTGAATATATGTCTTACAGAATGTAAGTAAGTTTGTAAGTTTTTTAATGTAAGCTTGAGGTACGAGTTGTAAACATTTTAGAAGAAGAGTTATATACATGAATTATTATTATTGTGCAACAAATGATAAGATCACTTATCTGTCACTGTGAATTAATTTTGGTTCAATAAATAAATAAAAAAATAAGCTTAGAAATGAAAAGCTTGAAGTAAAACTATTTTTTTTCCTTAATGTATAATAATAAAGTTGTCGAATCTCCGTCAATATATGTTTATTGTTGTATTCTCTGAAGGTCATGTTTGTATACAACACAACCCACACAAAGACACACACACACATACACACACATGGCTTTAATAACGTTATAAAATGTATATTCGTGTGATGTCGAGTGATATACATAGTATGATGCAGTGGATCTGACTACAGACAAGGGAGTTTAGTGTCTACTGAAATACACTTGAGAACACTTTAAAATTATTATAAAACATACACATATACTGTAAGAAATAAATAATAATTAATTGACGAGTAACAGATAACTTAAATAATATTTTTCAGGGATCGAGAGTTGACGAGTGACATTGAAACAGAATACGAAATATCATCTCCAGTAACAAATAATACTGTTTACTATAATAAGGTCTGTTTGACCTTCCAACATCCGCAGACGTCTGGACCTGTATAGTGTACCAGATGTTGGAAAAAAATATAATGATAACGACTATGAAAAACTGAATTATTTCATTCATTTGAAAAATATTGGTCAATATTTTGTAAGAAAATAAAGAATCCACATTCTATATTACGATTGAACAGTAGATAAATAATTAAACATTTCAAAATATGAATTCAGGTTGACCGCGCTTTAAATGTGATTCAACAAGGAAAATAATAAGAATTGTTATTTGTGACCGGTCAAGAAACATTTACTAATTATAAATTTGTTTACTACACTGTAAACAGAACTCGTTATAATCCGTGTCGTGTGTCGGATGGTTCAGAGCTGAGACCCATCATTATAATGTATTGTAATAGGTTTAATATATCTCTTAAAGTATTCAATAATAACACACAACATGTACATTTTACATTTATGTTGTGTTTGATAAACTTTTGATACGTGATAACGAATGTAAATGACGTACAAACTGACTGTCACTGTTAATGAAGGTAGGTGTTGTGAAATAAACGTGAATAATATGAGAACAGGGAACACTTCAGGATCATGATGAAGAATGAACAAAGACGTAGACTACTCCTTCATGTGACAACCCTTAACACTAACACATAAAACAACACAACACGTGAATGTGATGTATAAATAGCTTACCGACACTCAACACGACGGCCACGAGAGCCAGATATATACAATGTTTAAACATAGTGTGTCAACCTGCGCCGGCACACAACACACACACGACCGCTCACTGGGGGCTGCGGTGTACACTGACGAATGAAGATTGAAGATACAGGGTAGAGGGACATCACATACAGTATGACACACACACACACACACACACGACAACGATATTGGTTTCTGATCAGAGTGACGCCCTTCGTCGATAGATGACGCTATAATATTTACTAATCGCCGGTAGATGGCGCTGCTCATAGTATTGTATTATAAAAAGAAAAAGATAAATAAATGTAATATTAGTTATAACTTATAATCAATATTAAATAAAATGTTTAAAAAAGTCATTTATCGCATAGTTAACTGTGTACATATACAACATAGTTAATAATTTTGCTAATAACACATATCTTTCCGAGAATATACTTATCTTATTATTAGATTTTTTTAACATAAATTTTATATATTGTTATTAGATACATTTGAAATGATTACAAGGATTTTTATAAGTATTGAACAAATATTGCACTTGCATGTTTTATTGTTTTCAGGTTCAGGTAAAACCGCTAGCGAGTTCAGAAGGCGAAGTTGAGTTGTTTAATAAATAACTTGGATCAAAATGCACATTGAAACTAAAACAAACATATAAGTATAAATATTGAAATTTTAAATGTACGGATTAAAAAAGGCAACCATGTCTGTTACAGGTTACCCTGGTGCCATCTATATTCTGGAATGTTCAACTATCAGTATGTTTACATCCCCCCTCCGACAGGTGTCGCTATTTTCAAAGAAACATGAACATAGAAGCTGCATGAGGAGTGAGGAAGTGAGGATGAAAGGTGAACGAGATCCCTGACGTTCATAGAGTTCATCATGGACGATAGCTTATATCAATATATTATATATGTATAAGAAGTATGAATATATCAAAGTGTTCGCACTCTGTGTGTGAGTTTGGCGTCAAAGATAGTTGTAACGAAATACAATTTATATTAAATCTTTATCTTCAGATACATACAACCGTACGCGTATTAACTCGACCTGCGATTCCTGGAGTCTGGATCTGCTGTGGAGATAAAAGAAATTGGTCTGAGAAAGCTACTTAGTAAGTGTAAGTGGTTACGAAAAATCAAGCAAAAATTGTTAATCAATCTAAAGATGCTGATCTAATACTTATATATGATAAACTGAGTCATTTCCATGAAGCAAATATCATTAAATTACAGAAATAACTTAATGAATAAATACACAAGTCAATCATAAGAAGTGATATATGAAAATATTTAAAATTAACCTCATGGAATTAATAAACTATGTAGTTTAACTTCCGACTCCTCTCGAAACAACTCGTTGTATATTAAAGTCAGTGAGTTAGTAGGTACAATATGTTAATCTAGAGAGTGGGTCAAAGTTTATCAGTGTACAATATTTACTGCAAAATTCGTCGAAGAAGTATAATAAATAGGAAAAACCAAAAATGAACAATTTATATGAAAATATTTGAATTCTATAAACAAGCATGATTCATGTGACACACTTAATATTAAGAAGTTTATTAAAGTGTTACAATAATATAATAAGAGGATAAATAGAATTAGTGGTCTCTGTGTGTAACAAATAACAGTGAACGGTCATATGTACATTACTGGAGTTACAGTTTTAGAGTTTCTATGTAACTTATATATTAATAAACGTTCTTTCCTGTTTGCTCATTTTTAAATAATTAATTAAGACTTAACATGTAAGATGTAGTATTAAAAGTTTCTCAGACATTTTACCCTTACATTTTTTTAATATTACTAAATAGTTATTAGGAACTTTATGATTCATAAATTGATATAAACGTCGTCATCAGCCTCAGAATACTTTCATCGATTCCTTTGTCTGTAAGACTCTTTGTATAAGTAAAACAATATCTAAAATATGTTTTATAAAAGATGAAGAGTTCCAAAGTTGAACTAACTTTAAAAAATTCACAAGAAATATATTACAAACTTAATTTTTTTAATTTCTCAATATAATAATCAACAAATGTTTACAAAGTAATAAATTACACACACATCTGTTATCAGTGACACGTTACTTGTAGACTGAGATTAAAACGTGCGAATATTAAGAAAACTGTTTATAAGTGTTGAGACACAATACACTGTTACTACAGACACATATGACACGAACACTTACACGAGACAAGAATGTGTTATACATATATTGTGTATAATCTTCTATATATATAAAAATGGATTGCTGTTCCTTAGTCTCGCTAAAACTCGAGAACAGCTGAACAGATTTATCTTATCTTAGTCTTAATATGTTTGTGGAGGTTCAGGGAAGGTATAAAAGCTGAGAAAAATTAATTCATTACTGAGTAAACCATAAAAACAGCCCTTTTCTATTTCCCAAACAAACGTTTTTTTTGACATTAGATTTGACAACTAATATGTCAATCATTCTGTCGCACTTCAAAACACGGAGATTTATGGCTTACAGGTAAACTCCAAAAATATAAATAAAAAAACGTAATAGATATTTCTTGATTATAGGGCGATACGAAGTTCGCCAGGGATTTCTAGTAATAAATATAAGAATAACACATTTCATTAAATTAATAATTTGACTAAATAACCCTTTCTCCCATATTGTTTCTGCCTGTGTTCCTCGTTGTCTTTTTATTAACCTACCTATATTTATATTTATTTTTGGCCCAATAACATATGTATTAAAAACATTTCTTTTCTGATCCAATGATAATATAATGATTACGTATGAAATAAAAAAAACTGGACAGTCATCTTCTTTTAAGCAAAAAAATATTGTACAACATTTTCGTAAACAAACGAGAATGTAAAAAAAATGTAAATAATAATAATTAGTAACCAGTTTTAGTGCGACGTGGTTTGAGGACTACACAATACATAATACATATTAGGTATAGTAGCAATTTATTTACATATTATAAATACTCTCCGTATCATTTGATTGTGTTTAATATTATTAATTACTTTCACCCACTGAACTACTTATCTTATTGATTATTGATTGTCGAAGTAAATTAATATATTTTTGATATATTTATTACATTTCTGACAAAACGAACGTCATGATTCAGCAATATGTAAAGAATTTAGTTAGTAACTATTAAAACCGTCAGAGGGAACAATAGGCCAGTGCAGATGCCTTTAAAAACAATGATTAATTAAAATAAATTATAGTAGAATGAAATCCTTTAGAAAAGAAGGTGAATATTATAAAAATTAAGAGAAAAATAATTTACGGGTGATCTGAGGTCGGGAAGGGAACGGGGATGGATATTTAAGGGTAAAAAATGGGTTTTCTCGATTTCCGCCATCTAAATATATGGCGCTGTTAAAACATTCGCTTATTTGACGTCTTTTTTTACAACTGTAAAAGACGTGTAATAATAAAACTTATGTTAACAGTTGGTATTTTATTTTAATTCATTAACATATTAATATGAGTCTAAAGTTCAAATAATGTTTGTGATATCTTCAACTTATTTATTTCTAACTACTTACTTGTTTCTAAATACTTGACTGTCTTCTATACAGGGTGACTGGTGAATTACTATCGATATTTGAGGACGTGATAGTTGACGATCATATATGACAAAATAAAAATTAATATAACATAAATATTAATAAACTTCTAAGTAAAGTTAACCAAAAGTTGTGTAATTAATTACGCATCGTGTGAACACCCTACAGATTAGGTATACACACACACTCACACACACGCGGCGGGGGCGTGGTTTTGTATCAGCACGCCGCTGCACGCGTCCACACTTGGAACACTTGGAACGTGTCAACACTTTATTTATTTATAGGGAAATTTGGTCAAAAATTAAGTGCCTATTTTATTTACATAATTCGAATGAGAATCATGTACCGAGTATGCTCCTTAAATATTGATAGTAATTCACCAGTCACCCTGTATAGTAGTAATAAGAAAATAAATAATATTGTTCCATTTTTTACCTTTGTTCTACATATTTTTTGTTACCTTTTACAGTGGTAAATATTCAGTAAATATACATTAATACGTATAGTGTTAAAGTACAATCATAGAGGACGCTATTCATATATTTCAGATTACTGTATGTTGATTGTTCTGTATATTATGACACTTCAAGCACTCACTCATTGACCTAGTTACTATATTTTCCGTCAGATGTCCTACAACATAATATCCGGAATATTACAATTATATTTTTACTTAAACCATATCTATAATAATTAATCCTAAAAAATATAAGCCTCGTAAAAGACCCTTTAACTATTTCAAATAAGTTTGTTACTGATAAGTGAAATAAAGAAGGTCATTGCAAAATATTTTTAGTGGAATTATAATCAAAGATAAGAAAGTAAATCTTTAAGAATGTTTCTGTCTTTCATTGCTTTTTAAATTTTCATAAAGAGAGAACGGTTTGGTATTTTATATATAATAATTAATATTTGTTTCCCACACTTTTATGTTACGACGAAATTAATGTATTTTAAAAGCAGCTAACGCCATCTATTAACAAAATAGTGAACTATAATTCGCGACCTTAGCATTGACAGTGGCCTCTGTTCACAAGGGCGTCCTTGTTTCCAAGGTTCCTTCAAGGTGTTCCCTTGATAAATGCTCGTTCGGGGCCGCGATAATGAAGAAGGTCAAGTCTCGATGGCCACACACACACACACACACATATAATATATAAATAGTACATGTAATAGCATCTATATGAAGAATATGTTTATTAAATGTCGGTAAATAGAATCGTGACGTGTGAATTAGTTATTACTGTGGTGGCTTCTGTTTCAAGTGATGCCAAAATGATGTGTTCTTATCTCTGACGAAGTTTTGGTGTGTCAAGAGTTATGATGGAAATGTTTATAGAGAATTTAATAAAATAAACCTTAGGTATTAAACTAAATACAGCCTGAAACACAGTTGTCAAGGGGGTCTTTCATTATCACAGAAACTGTTTAACATGAAATTTTACAATGATGGTTAAACATCGCTTATCATATTGTATTACTAAAAACAAATCTCCTGGCAAAATACAAGAGCAATATGAATAATCGTGTAATAGGAAAGAAATAATGAATAGTAAGTCACCTAACAAAATATACGAAATGAAATTATTTTCTATATAAAATGATATTTTTTTTATTTAATGTATATAAATATAAAAGGGATGTTTTTGCTAATGAACAAACTTACACATTATAATAATGTATATAATGTATCTAAAATGTTATTATAATTTAAATAATTGGAAGGACTGACACGCAATGTATTCATATTTTAACATACTCCTAGTATCACTGACATGTATCAAAGAGACTACGTCATGTTAGTGTTAGAAGTTACATCTTTTGGCAATATATGTAGTTTGATTAGATTTTACTGTAATAATTGCTTTTATTTTATACCTTCAAAATTTCTGATCTGAACATTGTTATGTGTGATTGTAGGCGTATCAAGTTTACTCTCCTATGTCGTTGAATGAACTGTAAAGGGATTGTAAACCTCAAAACCATTCAACATAAGAAACTGTAATTATTTGGTTATTCTTCTGCGGTACTCAGCTCCAATAATGGATCAGTAACTTACGTATGTTTTTGTAATTTAAGTAATTTATATTATGACACATTTTGAATTTTTATGGACTGTTTCAATCAATCATATTATAATATTATGATACAATATAACTTGCTCTGAATTCATCTTCAGTATTGATGAAATAAAGTTTCAATGCTTGTGAGATTTCTTATAGGATAAGCTTTATATTTTGGGAGCCGGTTACTTTTACGTTGTACTTAAGCGGACCGAACAAAACCAGTAAATTTAAATATAGAGTACAATTCAAACTTCTTAGATTTCTTTTGAGAAATGATGATGAAGTATTTACAATTAAGTATTTTAATGAATTTCATTTGGATTAAGAGCGAATTCTCTCCATATTAAATAATATTAAGATTTTAACTAAAATTTGAGCTGAAATAAAAATTACTTTTTTTTGTATAACTTACACATGAAAGTCCTTGGATACTTTTTTAAAAGCGCTCTTAAATCTTTTTATCATCTTTTTGGATAGTAAAATACATATAAAAAATAAGACTAAGATTTTAAATGAATGAAAGAAAGCATTGTAATAATCGCAGTTTATATTTAATGAACTCTCGATATAAAAATACAAAAATACATAAAAATAAAGAAACAAAATAAATAAATTAACATGACTACAATTCATCGGTAACTAAACATTTAACAATTCATTTCTATATTATCTACTTACTTATTATTATTCTAAAATAAATACCACTAGTTATCATGTTTGTGTGTTCATTCAATAAATATGTCAAATAAATAATAACCTACCACTGACACTAAGGACAATACAATGACGAGAGGAGACTGGACACAATATTAGTATTATAATCAAATTAACAATATGTAATGGTTAAACAAAATATCAAGGTAACATTGGATTCAATAAAATATAATTATATTCTAACAAATTAATTCTATGATGTACAAAATAAATATAAAAAAAAAATCACACACTCTCTCACACACACGGGCCCTTACACTCACACATACACACACACATAAGCTGTAATTTTCTCTAAGGTTTACATCAAAAGACCTCCTTCCTGAAGTCATACCCAAGTCGACAGCACTTATCCCTTAGCACTCGCCCAAGAGGAGCCGGCCCGCAGTAGAACACAGATATAGGTCCCTCACTACCAGCGGCCACTTTTCTTAGAACTACATCCCAATTCGGTCGACCAGCGACTGTTCGTGTTTTAAGACCAGTTACTAAATCCCGTTGATCCTTCCCGTGTAATAAATCCAACGCTAATTGTAAAGACACAGCTCTCATATCAGATCGTTGTAACGCGCTGGTCACATACATGTGCATGTCTAAAAATCGTTTACCTCCCGCGCGTTCTAACTCCGCTTGCTGCATTTCGAGAGAGGATAATAAAGACACGAACCATTCAAAGGCTCGCTGATCACGATTTATCCATATAAAATCAACCTTTTTTAGTGTAATATCTGCTGAGTCAGGATTCAAGCAACGCTGGCCGCAATTACTGCATACATGTTGCGCTCGTGATAGTCGATGGGCGATGGATTTTAACACCGAAGCGAACGGTGTGACGCCGATCCCGGCCGCCACTAACACCGCGCGCTCGCACGAGAACATTAGTGAGGAGGCCGCGCCGTATGGACCGTCGATGTACATCTGGAGAATGTAATATAATATAATGAGAGAGGTTAGTTACTATGTTAGAACAGAATATATAACTGACACTTGAAAGAGAAATATAATTTATAATATGTTAGAATCATCAATATATACAGGGTGACTGGTGAATTACTATCGATACTTGAGGAGTTGAGGACGTGATATTTGACGATCATATATGACAAAATAAAAATTAATATAACATAAATATTAATAAACTTCTAAGTAAAGTTAAACAAAAGTTATGTAATTAATTACGCATCGTGTGAACACCCTAAAGTTTAGGTATACACACACGCACACACACACGTGTGGCGGCGTAGTGTTGTATCAGCACGTCGCCACACGCGTCCACGCTTGGAACACTTGGAACGTGTCCACGCTTTATTTATTTATACGGAAATTTGGTCAAAAATTAAGTACCTATTTTTTTTACATAATTCTAATGAGAATCATGTACCGAGTATTCTCCTTAAATATTGATAGTAATTCACCAGTCAACCTGTATAATGACTAGCTTTCCTCCCGCTTGGAGTTCGGTTATATCGCGATTCCAAGAGAACCATTCAAAAGTCTGGGATAAAAACTATCCTATGTTCTTTCTCAAGGTCAACTCTATCTCTGTACCAAATGTCATTAAAGTCAGTTCAGTGGTTTAGTCGTGAAAGCGTAACAGACAGACAGACAGAGTTACTTTCGTATTTATAATATTGGTAGGGATTATATAAACAATAATCTATATGTGTTCCACAGTAAGGTAGTTCAAACCCTGTTTCCCCCTACCTCTAAAGGCTTCATGTATGTATGTCCGTGTTGTTCCGCTCCATCTCCTGTCTCCGGGTCCTCACGTCTGTTGTCATCATCATCTTTGTCTGGAGACAGTGTCTTTGACAGGCGACGTCTCGCTGTAATATATAACACTTATATTATTGTACATAACAAACAAATTCTGTTATATTATTACGTCTATACGTAAATGTACCAAACTCCTCTCTATTTATACGTATTTTTAAGATCGATCCAATCAAATACGTCTATTATGCCACATATCATATTTTCTTTTCTGAAAACGAGTCGTTTGAAAGAAATAAAGATAATTATAAGCGGCCTTGTGGATACTCGTAATGTTATTTGTTGAACTTCAGAATATGTCCTAACTGTACATCTTTTCACTACAATTTCAATAAAAAATTGGGATACTAATATTGATTGGATGGTAGTAGAAGTGTAGTGTAGTGATTCAACACGCAAGTAGTTTATAAACTTTGTTTACGAGAGGGGGGATTTACTGAGATGTTGGATTATATAATACAGGACCTTAACAACCACAAAAGTTTTATGACGCCTGTGAACGAACTACGAAGTCTCTTCCATGCCGTGATAACTTTTAATTGAAACAACACTTAGCTAAAAATGTAATTACCTTTATTTTAAAACCTATAAATGATGCATGTTTTGTAAGTTGAGTTATATATAAATAAATAAAACACTATAGTTCTCACCGCTGGTCAGTAAGCTTTCCTTCTTCATCGGCGGCGTCTCACACGACACTATGGCGGGTTTAGTCCTCAGGTGACGGAAACTATCCGCCAGGTGGAGGGCGCCCGCGGGGCTGCGGGGAGGGGGGCGAGGGGTGGAGGGGGAGGGGGACGGCGCGGGGGGGAAGGTCGCTGACTCGGAGCGGTGATACTCGGGACTGTGGGGAGAGAACAAACAATGATGATACTAGTGAGGTTAAGGGGAGACGTTACCTTAGAGAGACAAGGGTTGGAGAGCATGAATCAGCTGATTTTGACTTTTGATACTATGACAGCCATTTGATACTAGTGGTGGCCTAGTGGTTACAGGCCCGCCTCTCGTTGCCGAGAGCACGGGTTCGAACCTTGGCAAGTACCAATGTGATTATTCCGAGTCATATGTACTTTAGAGTATTTAGACACCTGGACTTATAATCAAATCATAAGTTTGAAATCACCAACCCGTGGTGATTAATGCTCAAACCTTCTCCATGTGAGAAGAGGCTATACTCAGTAGTGGGCTCTGATAGGCTGATGATGATGACTATGACAGTCGCAGTTGTTTAATCATACAACAATAGAGTTCTTACATCATGAAACGTTTCTTCTTCAAACTTTTTCTCACGTCGGGCATCGAACGAGACTTCTCCAGGAAACGAAGAGGAGACAGTAGCGGGGGACGGGGCTGTGATGTGGAGTTGAGACCTGAATAATATAAAAATGTTAGTTTAGTATGACTCGAAATGTATCGGTGGTTTATACCTTGAACATTTTAAGATACGCAGGAAGTAGGAGTATAGTATGAGGAAAAATCTAGTATATCATGTCACTCTATGATTCTATAAAACTTTTTTTTAAGTATGTAAACTAATAACCAATATTGAATCATTATTTTGTTTCTTTTTGAATTTGTCTAGAATCTAGTATATTATGTCATTCTATGAGTCTATAAAACTGATTTATTTGAAGTATGTAAACTAATAACCAATATTGAATCATTATTTTGTTTCTTTTTCAATTTCTCTAGAATCTAGTATATTATGTCATTCTATGAGTCTATAAAACTGATTTATTTGAAGTATGTAAACTAATAACCAATATTGAATCATTATTTTGTTTCTTTTTGAATTTGTCTAGAATCTAGTATATTATGTCATTCTATGAGTCTATAAAACTGATTTATTTGAAGTATGTAAACTAATAACCAATATTGAATCATTATTTTGTTTCTTTTTCAATTTCTCTAGAATCTAGTATATTATGTCATTCTATGAGTCTATAAAACTGATTTATTTGAAGTATGTAAACTAATAACCAATATTGAATGATTATTTTGTTTCTTTTTCAATTTCTCTAGAATCTAGTATATTATGTCATTCTATGAGTCTATAAAACTGATTTATTTGAAGTATGTAAACTAATAACCAATATTGAATCATTATTTTGTTTCTTTTTCAATTTGTCTAGAATCTAGTATATTATGTCATTCTATGAGTCTATAAAACTGATTTATTTGAAGTATGTAAACTAATAACCAATATTGAATCATTATTTTTGTTTCTTTTTGAATTTGTCTAGAATCTAGTATATTATGTCATTCTATGAGTCTATAAAACTGATTTATTTGAAGTATGTAAACTAATAACCAATATTGAATCATTATTTTGTTTCTTTTTCAATTTCTCTAGAATCTAGTATATTATGTCATTCTATGAGTCTATAAAACTGATTTATTTGAAGTATGTAAACTAATAACCAATATTGAATCATTATTTTGTTTCTTTTTCAATTTCTCTAGAATCTAGTATATTATGTCATTCTATGAGTCTATAAAACTGATTTATTTGAAGTATGTAAACTAATAACCAATATTGAATCATTATTTTGTTTCTTTTTCAATTTCTCTAGAATCTAGTATATTATGTCATTCTATGAGTCTATAAAACTGATTTATTTGAAGTATGTAAACTAATAACCAATATTGAATCATTATTTTGTTTCTTTTTCAATTTGTCTAGAATCTAGTATATTATGTCATTCTATGAGTCTATAAAACTGATTTATTTGAAGTATGTAAACTAATAACCAATATTGAATCATTATTTTGTTTCTTTTTGAATTTGTCTAGAATCTAGTATATTATGTCATTCTATGAGTCTATAAAACTGATTTATTTGAAGTATGTAAACTAATAACCAATATTGAATCATTATGTTGTTTCTTTTTGAATTTGTCTAGAATCTAGTATATTATGTCATTCTATGAGTCTATAAAACTGATTTATATGAAGTATGTAAACTAATAACCAATATTGAATCATTATTTTGTTTCTTTTTGAATTTGTCTAGAATCTAGTATATTATGTCATTCTATGAGTCTATAAAACTGATTTATTTGAAGTATGTAAACTAATAACCAATATTGAATCATTATTTTGTTTCTTTTTGAATTTGTCTAGAATCTAGTATATTATGTCATTCTATGAGTCTATAAAACTGATTTATTTGAAGTATGTAAACTAATAACCAATATTGAATCATTATTTTGTTTCTTTTTGAATTTGTCTAGAATCTAGTATATTATGTCATTCTATGAGTCTATAAAACTGATTTATTTGAAGTATGTAAACTAATAACCAATATTGAATCATTATTTTGTTTCTTTTTCAATTTGTCTAGAATCTAGTATATTATGTCATTCTATGAGTCTATAAAACTGATTTATTTGAAGTATGTAAACTAATAACCAATATTGAATCATTATTTTGTTTCTTTTTGAATTTGTCTAGAATCTAGTATATTATGTCATTCTATGAGTCTATAAAACTGATTTATTTGAAGTATGTAAACTAATAACCAATATTGAATCATTATTTTGTTTCTTTTTGAATTTGTCTAGAATCTAGTATATTATGTCATTCTATGAGTCTATAAAACTGATTTATTTGAAGTATGTAAACTAATAACCAATATTGAATCATTATTTTGTTTCTTTTTGAATTTGTCTAGAATCTAGTATATTATGTCATTCTATGAGTCTATAAAACTGATTTATTTGAAGTATGTAAACTTATAACCAATATTGAATCATTATTTTGTTTCTTTTTCAATTTCTCTAGAATCTAGTATATTATGTCATTCTATGAGTCTATAAAACTGATTCATATGAACGATATAAACAGATAGATACTATTGAATAAATTTCTTGTTTCGTTTTTTTTCAATCTCTAATTAATTCTGTTATATTCTCACCGCAGCCATTTTCGTTTTCTTCATCAATGGTGTAGGCTTCGTTAGTGTATCCAGAGTCTATGGAAGGCTTCTTACTGGATCTCTTGCTTTTATTACTCTGATTACTTTTGTTGCTCTGAGTAGAATTACTACGATGTGTTTTTCTGGAATAAAAAAATGTTATTATTACTATACGATTATTATAAAAAAATAATGTGTAGTCTATTTAAAAATTAATTAATTATAGAAGATTGTTCAGTAAAAGAATAAAGTTTAAATAAATATCATTAATAGTTAAATAGTATAAATAATTTTTATATAATTACTAGCTTTTGCCCGCGAAACCGTCCGCGTGAAAATGTTACAGGGTGAAGTGTGTAAAGTGTGTTAAAATAACAGATATGCTAACATCAACTATATTTATAATCTGTGTTACCTAAAATACACAATACAATTTAAAAAAAAAATAAAAAGTAGACACAACTGAATTTCACAGTATTTTGTTTAGGTTTAACGTAGCAGCGCCATCTTTTGGTTAATTACTCAATCCAGTCAACATATATCGCCATCTGTTAAAATCGTTTGGAAGTAGGTATCTGATGAAACTGAATATCAAGTAGCAGACAAACTATTTGTAATAAAATAATATTGAGACTTTTACTTAAGATGTAAGCTATCCTATCTTTTAAGTTGGATCAAACTACACACGATGCGCGAATTTATTTTAAAATTGGTTTAATAGTTTAGGAATCCATCGCAGACAAACAACGTAACACGTGATCTATATACATATGAATAATATAATGTAAATTCATAACTGACTCTTGTATTTGTTCTCGTTTCGTTTGTTGTTCAAAGTGTTCGTACAGTCTGTTGGTCCACTCGCCCACTCCTCGGATGTGAAGCCAGATGTAGTCTGTAAAGAAAGATGAAAGAATTAAACTATTAGAAGATAATAGTATGAGCAACGACTGGACATTAACAGAGCTTACTGAGATCACGAAGAATTTACATTTAAATGAAACTAATATTTTTCGAATATACTACGCGACATTATTTTTGTAAGAAACTCCATACTCCCGACGTTTCAGTAGCTTTTCGTCAACCGTGATCAGGGATAGACGAGATGTGGGTTTGATGTGATTATTGATTTGTTAGACTTCTATAGGGAAGTGGTGTAGAATATCCTGTTTTATATGTAATGCACCTTTCTCCTCTGGAGCACTGGAGATGGTGAAGGGATGCCACTCAAACCGAGCGATAGCGGGCACGTTCACAAACACATAGTCTCCGGCGCGGAAGTTGAACCCGCGAGGTCTGCGAGCGGCCACGTGGAGCACGCGGGAGGGAAGGAGCGCGCCCGAGGTTATGTAGCTGCGACCACGACCAGACCTGGGGAATAACACTTATAATAGACTACCTTCAGGTAAAGATTGCTATTAATCACTTGTCTAGAATATATAATAAAATTAACATTAGGAGCACCGAGGATTACAAACACTTTACAATGCAATTAAAGTAAACGTTGACGTCCACACTAGTGTAGGCCTAAATCGTGGAGTGACCTGTATGTTGCTTGAGAACTTAAATTAAACTTCAAGACCAAATATAACATAGCAAATTTTTTGGATGATTCCTGAGTTATGCAAGAAAAATGGAGTAAAAAGAAAAAGAAAAAACAATCTAATTTTACTTACTTAACACCCACGACTATAAAGTATAAGCTATTACCTATTATACAATGTAAAGTGACACCGTAAGGCCTTTTTATATACATATGAAGTGTAAATATTATATTAGTCTATATTAGTCTATATTAAAACAATTCTCACCTCAACCACCAAAGCCTCAACATCTTCTCAATGAGGTAAACGCTTCCGGGGACGATGAACCACTTCCAGAAGTTAGGGGCGTGAAGGATGAGGAGGATCCAGAACGGAACGTACAGGAGGTGAGTGAAGTAGAACACCTGGAGATGAGACATGAGAGTCACTTGACTTGTAGTGGGGCGAGGGGGTTATGAAGAAATATGAGTTGGGTTAGAGTTAGAACATCCCTGTTGATAAGATGAAACAAAGTTTCATCATTATCAAAGGCCTAAAGAATCTATATATTCATGGTACCTCAAAACAGCCTCTTCTCCTGACTGCTGGTCGTGAGGAGTACGCTAAGGCTGCTAACACCACCACTAGAACTACACCCGTGGGGTTGGCCCAGCCTTGAACCAGACCGAAGACTCCCGGACGTGACGTCAGCAACCACACGTGGAGTGGTAGGGGGGAGGGGGGAACTACCACCAGCGCTGGGGAAACAGGAAGAGATATTATGATAAAAGTAATAACAACGTGTCTTTATTAACCGTCTGTTAGTTTAGTAAAACAAGTTAGTTAGTGTGTATTAATCCTTTATACAAAACATTCGTAGATCACGATCAAGTGGTTCACAGACGAAAACATAAAATTAATATTCCAAAATATGTTGAAGTTAGGAAATGTAGGGGAAGAATTTAAAATCTGTGACATTTATTGCGCTTTTAAAGAGAGCCCTAAAATGTATTAAGGAACACAGCCTACAAAGGAAAATCTTTTATAGATTAGCCTAATTGTTTTTTACGTATGACTTACCAAAGTTACAGAAATGCATAACGGAGTGCAGGACGGCGTGTGCTATGAGAGTGAGTGCGGCCAGCTTGTGGAGGGACACGTGGCGGTCGAGGAGAGCACCCACCACGCCGCGCAGAGAGGTGAGGGAGCGACGGAGCATGAGGACTAACACCCACGACGATGTGAAGTTGAGACACTGACCTGGAGGAATAGGAGACGTATAGAGGGATGAGGTAGTATATGAAGCGATAAAGATTAGCTGAGAAAGAAGTCCGTCAGATGAATATTACCTTTAATCTATTCTGTAGCTGTAAAGGGTGCCTTATAACATCTATTTGAAGTCAGAAGACAATAAAAATAAAATAGAATCTAAATATATGTTGGTCTTCTAACTATGTGTAATATTACGTTTGCTGAAGAAATCCGCGATACGGTTGAGAAGCTCGGTAATTAAAACTGTATATTACACTCTGTCAATAGGTATTGTAATAATCAATTTTACTAAAACTGTTTATTAGGACTTTACAACTAGGGCGTTGATTGATGGCATATGGTAAATTTTCGCTTTATGGTTCAGTAATAATTATTATCAACAGTACAGTACAGTTGTAATGTAATATTATTAAAAATTTTGTCCTTGTGTATCTTACCTGAAGCTCGAGCAAATTTAACAAAAATGTTGTGATCCCAATACTCCACGATCCTTGCAATAAATAAAGCGACGTTCATGAGAAAGAAGAACGCTAAGTAGGAGACGAAGACATAGTTGTTCCTCAGATAGTTCAGAGACAGTTGGTAAGGTCTCATGTTGGAGAGTCGTTGACGTAGAGGGAGGGGCTCCGGATGAGGAGGAGGAACCAGCCAGCGATCTATACTGGAAGAGGAAAACAAAAAAATTAAGAAATATTTAATTCTTTCAACATAAGACTTCTATTTGAATGAAACTAATATTTTTGGGATGTTTTACAAGATTTAATTTTTGATAAAAAAACTACATATTCCCGACGTTCGGCTACTTTACAGCAACCGTGATCACGGACAGATGAGATGTGAGTGTCTCTCATCTCTGTGAGTGTACTCACATCTCGTCTGTCTCTCAATATATGTCGTTTCATCCGAAAAAATATTAGTTTCATTTCAAAGAATAAGACTCTCTAAAATCTTATATCTCATCATAAGACGTCGATTGAGGAATGCTATATGTGTGTGTGTGTGTGTTTGTAAGCATGTTAGTACCTGATGGACAGGTTGTCCAACAGTCCCCCGTGTCTGTCGAGCTGGTCCCTGAGCGCGTCGCACGTGATGGCTCCCCGCCCCTCAACATCCGCGTCTTCAAACAGAGCGCTGGTCAAGTCCCGCAGCTGTTCCTCTGAGAAGCTCATGTTGTTCTCCTCCATGGCGGCTCTCATCACGTGCTGCAGCTCACGGTGTTGAATTAATCCGTCACCTGGAAAACATGAGAAGAAACCAATGAGATCAATTACTTTTGAACCTTACTGTAGAAACAATTTTTTAATGTAGTAATTAGTGCCACTATTTCTAATAACATACTTGGTCTTTGTTGCCGCTTTTAGTCCCTAAATTATTGAATAACCATGTTTTGATGATGTATAGATGTTCGTTGTTCTTCACCCAAAAAACATTGAATAAATTCTTATGATAGCTGTGACAATTAGTCAGTTGTGGCCTAGTGGTTAAAAGACCCGCCTCTCAGGCACGAGGGAGCGGGTTCGATCCTGGCCCGGGCAAGTACCAATATGATTTTTCCGAGTCATATGTACTTTCTAAGAGTATTTAGACAACACTGATTAATGCATTCCCAAAGAGAGTTGATGTCAGGCAGGCGGCCGGTCGTAAAAACAAATAGCCAAAACTATTTACAACATGTAAAGCAGACCCTGGCTATAGCCGGGAAATTGCCAGGTAGAAGAAGACTGACTATGATAGTGTATCCTCACCATCCAGGTCGTAAACTTGGAAGAGGAACCTCAGCTTGTCCCTGGGCGAGCGGGAGGCGACACGAGCGGCCGCTGAGAGGAACTCACGGAGAGAGATGGACCCGGAGTCATCTGCATCGAAGATTTGGAACACGCGCTCAGTGAAGAACGGCTGAGGGATTGTACAATGGTGTAATATTATTAGATTATATAACTTTAGGAAATATTATTAAAATCCATATATATAAAAGAAAGTTGTGTTAATAATACTATTTGTAACTCTAGAACGGCTGTACGGGTTTAGCTGAAAATTGGAGCATATTTAATTCTGTTCGATTAAAACAAAAAATAAAGTCCAATGTCTAGTTATTTATAGCATCTATGGCAGAATAAAGTTCACCCGGTCAGCCAGACATATATTACTGTCTCCGAAAATAATGCGAACGAGGTCGCGGTCAAACCCTAGTAACAGGTTGACATACATTCTTGGAGACGACAATCTTCTGGAACTGTTCCCTGGTGATCTCTCTCTGGTCGCCGACCGTCTCCTTGAACAATCTCTCCAAACGATCAAGAGACTCCTTGTCTATACCCGCTCTGGTTCTGTAACAGTGAAAAGATTCTTAAGTTATTTAAAGAATAATGAAAAGAAATTGTGAGGAATGAAAATACTCATACATATTCTCGGGGATAGAGCATAGCATAGCATAGCAGAAGAAGTTAAAATTGTTTCCTGAATGTAATGACGATAAAATTATTTAATGTTAAGTTTTTAACTTATTGTCAAAAAATTACCTTAATTATTTTTAATTAAGAAAATATTTCAGCTTAAACCTTCTTCTGTATAACTGCTTCTAAAGCAGTTACGCGGAATTATCCAATGCTAGTAACGCGGATTTGCACTATCCCCGAGGATAGGCCTCATGTCAGTATTTTATTTATTTTATTTATTTATTAACACCAACAAGACATACATTAATAAAAGCGAAAAATACATTATTAAACCAGTAATCATAAAATCCAAATGTTGTCTTAATTGTAGGTGTTACACACATTTCAAAGAAAAATAGACTCGTAACATGCAGATGAAATTACATTACATTAATTGCACAAAGGAAAATTAGAAAAAAATAGAAATAATCATCAACATAAAAATTAAAATAATAATTAATAGTGTATTATAAAAAATAAATGGTTCCTCACCTGTTGTCTGTAGCGGCCGTGATGAGGTCCACCAGGTCCGCGGCGCTGACCCACCCAGACCCTCCCTCCACCGCGCGGAACAACTTGTTCGTCACCTACGGATTAATACACAAATATAATCCTCATTCATTAAGACTTGGAACCAATTAACACTTCAATGTAAGAGGGATTCAAATGTGTTGAATTAAATTGTTATTCTGAAGTTATTTCATCCCTAATAATATTATAAATGCGAAAGTAACTCTGTCTGTCTGTGTGTTACTCTTTCACGCCTAAACCACTGAACTGATTGTAATGAAATTTGGTCCAGAGATAGGGTTGACCTCGAGATAGAACATAGAATAGTTTTTATCCCAGACTTTTGAAAGGTTCTCTTGGAAACGCGATATAACCGAACTCCACGCAGGCGAAGTTGCGGGCGGAAAGCTAGTAATATTATAAAACTAAGTGTTTTTCCTATTTTTCTGTGTTCCAATTAAACATTACAAGTGTAATCAACACAACATATGTCTATTCTTCACTATGTAAGTAAGCGATCAGCTCCTCAGAATCAATTCCTGTTCCTCTTAATTATTATACTAGTATTAATCCACGCTAGTGGTACCACCTACCACCTTGTTCTTCCATATCTTACTGAACGTCTCCTTCGTCACCACTCCGTCACCACACAACACGTACGCGACACTCTCTACTTGCTCCACGAAGTCCAGTTGTTTATCTTCTCTGGAATTTAGTTTATTCGATAAAGAATAACGAAACACTTATAATATAAATAAAAAGATGTATGATTAATTATTTTTTAGTCAAATATTCAACAAGAATAAAGTTAGTTACGATTTTTATTATATCATGTATGTATGTCTGATGTATATAGGTATTATCTTCTTAGAAAGTTCTAAAACTATTTATAAGTAAAATCAACAAATGTAAATATGTAGTTCTTAACATAATTCCCATTTTTAAAATACAGTTTTCTTCAGCAGAAGAAATAAGGCCGTGAGCTGATGTTGTGTCTAACCAACACTTATATAGGATATCATTACACAGGTAACTTATGTATATGATTTGTGTCATTATTATTATCAAGTTACTAACTGTAGTCTCTCCTTGAGTGATTCTATCCACTCCTCTTGAACGAGATGCTCCTCATCACAGAACAGACGGAAGATACGCTCCAACAAGTCCTGGAAATATATATACATACAAAATAACAAACATATCACTTTATATATGTAGATTGTTTTGAGTAGAAGTCGCTGCACATATAATTTTATTATGAAAAGTATTCTTATACCATATTACTGAAAAAACTCAACTTGTAATAGTGACTATTTAATAATATACTTTAATGATTTGTTTCATACTTTTTGTACATAATTTCAAACACGTTTTTATATACGACTCCCACATACGTATGAAAGTTTAAGATAATAACCTAGGTATACCGCAAATGATAAATTTTGTATGAGCTAATTTTTATTTAATAAAACATACATTACCTGTTCTCGTATGTACACAATAATTAAATATTCTTTCTATCTTTTCTATAGTACCTAAATATACATAATACAAGTAAGACAACATTCCATTGAACCGATAAAATGCTAGTAGCACGTGGGCGTGTGCTGTCAACGCGATCAGCTGTCATGTGACAGGTGTCAGTGACGTCACCGGCTGTCACCTGTCAAGTGTCAAGTGTCAAGTGTCAAGTGTCGGGTGATGTGAGGGGGAAGGTGACACGGCGCGTCTCATTAGAGCCGGACCCAGATCGGAGATTAACATGTCTCGATATAATGGAAGGTGGGCGACGAGTCGTGTTAATGAAGGATTACAAGACGCGGGAAAAAATAACACCACAGATTATAATAATATGTGAGAGGTGACATTATAGTTTATACAGATTAAATATTAAGAATTAAATATTAAGATATATGTAGTTGTGATGATTTATTTACAAATTGGAAGAAAATTAAGAGAAGAGTCTTTATAAGTACTATTGATGTTAATATTACCTTTAAAGTTAATTAACTCGTAATTTCATATTAAAATAGTATTAATCGAATCCTCATATATTGTATGACAGACATTAACTTTGACGTTTAATTATAAACTTTAAGATATAAACAAGTTCCGAGGTCGAGAAGTATCCAGTTTTTGCAGCAGTGTGGTATACAAAAATCGTTACTTGGGAATAACTGAGTTACTTAAAAAGCATACTTACTTCTACCTGGCAATTTCCCAGCTATAGCCAGGGTCTGCCTTACATGTTGTGAATCTTTTTGGGTATTTGTTTTTACGACCGGCCGCCTGCCTGACATCAACCCTCTTTGGGAATCAACATTAATCAGTGATGTCTAAATATTCTCATAAGGTAAATATGACTCAGAAAAATCACATTGGTAGTTGCCCGGGCCAGGATCGAACCCGCGCCCTCATGCATGAGAGGCGGGCCTTTTAACCACTAGGCCACCACTGACTAATCAAATAATCAATGACTTATCAAAGCATATCTGGATATAATTGATTTTTAGACGCATTATTTTTAATAAGTATAGTTGTGTGACTACTCGTTATACTTATAGTGTTTGTACAAAAGTATATAATGTGTAAATGAAAGTCGTTCCATGATCTTATTGTAGGTAAACTACGGTCCATCAAAAACAGAAGAAATCTATGAAAGGTATCAAAAATACTACATGAGTGAACTTGTTAGTTGTTACACTATTATAAAGGATTCCATATATTCTTCTCCCATAAATCTCAGTAGTTTTCAATGAGATCTCATTTTTCATATATTTCATTTGGACGCGAGCGGAGACGAGTGTCTTCAACTGTATGTAAAGTCAAATTTTTAATTAAATATTCATATAAGAAACGTGTTCCTATAACCGTTAGCGCTCCTTCTACCGACACTCTAAATATATATTTAATTCATATTTGTTTGTCCGTGTGTTCATCTTTACTACGAGTCTTCAATATATTTAATAAAAAGTATATTCTTAAAATATAAAGTCAAAAATACTTCTGGCTATTCAAATTTATCGCAGGCTTATCGATTATTTTCAAAGTAATAATAATATCATTTTTAATATTAGCTGTTACACGCGGCTTTGGTCGTATAAATCCCCTTTTGAGATCATCCTCTTAAAGATTTATAAGATATTTCGTAGATTCCAACAAATTGTGTCTCGGTGACGATTGTACTTCAGGACAATGACCTTTCGATAAAAAAAACCTAAAAATTAGCCCACAATTGTTATAGTATAGGAGTAACAAGTAAGTTATATATAATCGTTATCAGAACTCTCTCCTTCAAGTTTGTTAAAAGCAGCTGAATTTACTTCACACGACCTTGACCTACGAGTGAAAGTATTGTATAGAGTTTGATAAGTTTAGTAAAAGTTATTAATGTGAATATTTTTTTTTAGGTAATAGTGTCTTTCATTAGAGTACGGTCATATCTTCATGTAACCTAAACATTTTGTATTAAGCGTAACGTGTGATCTCATACAACATTTTGTTCCAATATAATATGTATACTATATCTTGGTATAGTAATACAATATTAAAAATGTATTACAACTATTTAATAATTTATACAAACAGACATCAATACGCTAATGATGTGAAAAGTTTAACGAGCATCGCCGTAGCGATGTGGTTGCATAGATAAGATATCATATGTATAACGAGTGACGCTGCTGACTCCGCGGAACGAACACCAAGCCGTATGAACCAGAAGATTCCTGATACACACAAGCTATGGAATGGTACTGCTATCCTAACATCGGGACAATCATGTAGTCTTAGGTGCAGGTTATAAGTTTTAATATGTATTTCTTATTATAATATACATATAAGTAAGTTTCGTTGTTTCTCTGGAACCTCTGTTAATCTCAATTAAGTATAAAAAATAAAACTCATTAATAAACAATAATTTATTTAAGAGTACATACAAATAGTTTGGACTTTTGTAAATATTTAAACTGTTTTCATTTACTGAAACAAGTGTATATATTATAATAGTAGCAAACTATTCTCATGGTCATGAATGATCAAACATTTAGTTTTCAATACGTTGTACCAGAGAGCGTATCTACATATACATATGTATGTCTGTCTGTGTCAGTAGATCTGTCTCACGTGAAGGTGATCTACATTCATCTCGTGCATGTGTCGACCACCCACAGCTGACACAGCCTCCCGCCGGATACAGCCCACCTTACATCCGGTTACATACATTACATTCAAAAACATATTGCTTTAAAGCACTAAGTACGAGTACATTAAAATAGGAACACATCTCAAACACAATTTAATTATATTCTTACTAACAATAAGATCAGTTTGTCGTGTAAGAATTTAATCGTAACATTTATCTAATTAAATATATATTTTTATGAGTGCATGTAATATTTATTTACTTATCGTCAATTTGAAAGCATAAGAAACAAGCCATTACTTACTTATATTGAGATAAGTTTTTTATTTAATATGTTCTTTAAATATCATCAATATCTGTTAAACAGGTGTGATATTGTAGTCATTCATATATTTAATGAGCTACAATAACTACTACTCCATAATGCTACTTATATATGGTACTTTCACAGCCACCACAGGTTCCTAATGACTACGAAACTTACTTATATGTGTATTATAATATGAACTACATATTAAAACTTATAACCTACACCTAAGACTACATGATTGACCCGATGTTATGATAGCAATACCATTCCATAGCTCGTGTTGTACTATCAATATTCTAGTTAATGTAGCCAGGTGTTCGTTCCTCGGAGTCAGCAACAACACTAGAAATATAATATTTTATCCATACAACGATGTCGCCCCGGCGATGTTCATTTAATTGAAAATATTATTATTAAATGTGTACAGATTTGAACCTTGTAGTATTCTATATTTCAACATTCAACTGATTCCAACTACAATTCATTTGTTTCTATTTGTGTCCGGGTGTTCGTAATTTTTATATAATATATTAATGCTATCGTCGTGTTGTGTAGTCGTTAGTAAAGCCTTATTAATACAACGTTACTAAACCTTAAAAGGATCGTGTCAGAGTTCAACAGTTCAACTGACGGATCAAACACACGATCGGTGTTATGTTGTTACACCGAACATTAATATGATTGTAACATTAGCTGTATATAATAATATAATATTATAATACATATCTCAAAGCTAAGTGTGATTTGTATAGATAATTTATTTTTTCTTAACTACCCCTTAATATCAATTAAACTGTTTCTCAAACGATTTTCTTTAAATATGTATATAAAAAAAAATTTTGGTAATCGCTCAACGAAGATTTAATATTGTAAAACTATTCGTTTACTGGATTAGAACTTTGAGATTAAATCTATATGTAAATAAATTTATTACTTTTAATCTAGATATTAAATTAAAACAAAAACAACTAAAATACATATATACTCGTAAAGTATTCCAAAACTATTGAACATATGTATCACATATAAATTATAGAAGTTATATAAATAAAACGTTCATATCAATATAAAAAGAATGCTTTGAAGAAGAAAGTGTATTAAAGATTTTGAAAAATTTTAGAGCTCATCGAAGAACTCTCAAGACTGTTTGCAACGAGAACTCACATCTAAATAATTAATCGATCTATGTTGTACAGTATGCGATCATAAGTGAGGCCATAGTTCACCTGTAGGAGACAAGATAGAGATTGTTATAAAATAGGGATGCTGTTTCAACATATCGTCGTCAAAAGAAAAAGATTTAGAAAAAAGACACTTGAATGCTATCAAGCTTAGTGGAGCTTATAACTACCAAGAAACGTAACTGTAAAAGGTACTTCCCAACAAGCTGCGAAGGTCGATACTATTGTGTGTATACTAATGTACCGACCGTAGTGACGCTTGAAACACATTCATCTTGTGATATCAGAGAGACTAAACATCGGATAAGAGTTAATACTGTGCTCGTGATACGACGATTAGCCTCCATGTGGACCAGAGCAGACTTCACACTTACAATATACAAATATTAATGAAAAGACAGACATTTAGACTGACCGAGAGACAAAAATAAATTAAAAGCATTGCTTAAAACTATATCAACTTGGTTTCAAACAAGAATAAAGCTAATACTATTCTATAAATGCCGACTTGTTCTATAATGTTCATTGTTCAGTAGGAACGCCATTCACTGTACGACAAGACAGTGTTTAATCTGCGGTGTTAGTGTTGCGACACTGTCACAATACGAGCGAGGATTGAGAGGCGTGAGGCAAGAGACACTGACACGTGGACCACACAGAGACGAGCAGCGGGGCTGAGCTGGTAGATAGAAGGTTACATTGATAGAGGATTTATATATTACGACATGACTAGCTATATCACACTGACTCAGAACAATAGAACATAATCTAATACACGAACGGTGACCACTGATATAAAAGAAATACAACAGCATTTAAGCTACGATTGAATACTAGAAGCGTTAATTGATTATGATGGATATTAGAACAGGAGGATTTTATTCAGATGTTTAATAGTAGTAATGAATAATATTAAACTCTTAAATGCTTAGCTCACCAGTCACTACCCAGTAACAGTCAAAGTAACTCTTTTGCTATATTTATTTTATTGTTACTTTCCCGTTTATCAACGTTTAATGTATTGTGTTTGATTTCATTAAATCTAAATTTTAAAACAAACAGTATGTGAAGGGTCGTAACTGACGTGATATATTCGATTCAATAGTTTAGAGCGATTCATTGTGTGAGGACATACATCATGCATTCATAACACTCATTGAATCATAAATCAGTGAAGTAATGGAAGCCTTCACTACGGACTGAGCTTTATGATCACATGTTGATGGATGATAGATGGACCGCCTGCATTGAGTACAGACTACACACGTGACGCGTACACAGTACGGACATGTGGAGGAAGATAATTGTAACAAATACAATAAGAAATAAATTAAGAATTAGCTGTAAGAACTAAACAAATTGTATGAATTAAATTTTGATTCATAATCCACAAACATCAAGCTAAATAGTTTATGAAAGTGTGACTGAGCTACACATAATGTAAATGTTAAGTGGAACTTGTTTTAAATACATGAAATAAGATATGGATATATTGAGTCAATACTTTAACATACAAACAGACTACAGGTGTGTCTGTAATATATAATACATTGTTGTCTTTAATTGAATGAGACCTGTTCATGTCTGCGGTGTTTCCTCCTCATTAAACGTCTCCCAAAACTAAATCTTGAATTACCTCGCCGCATGTCAGAATCGCTTACCGTTTACATACTGCTACTTATACTTACATATTAAATAAGTATAATTAACGTTAAAATAACAAAATAAGCATTTAAATAGTTTTTTAAGAAGCAATACTTCGTAAGTCTATTAGTACATCGTGTTCACAGTAGGCACGTCTTATATTTTCTATGATAGTATCAACAGTATGATCATTAGTCTCGTGTGTTAATGATGTATTACAGCAACTATCTCATTATGTGCAATGTACGCGGGATTATAAATTGCTTATTTAAATTGACCGTCTACTGAGTGATAGGTCGCGGAGCAAGTTTTTATACACTAAAGAACATTACCGACACCAACACGCCTCGGACATTACAATATAAGAACCCGTACACACTGGCAACAGATGACTGATGAATTAAAGTTATGGCAATTTAAATTATTAAATCTTTTTGTATTTCTGCTTTAACACATATAGGCATTGCTTGATGAAATACGAATATGTAAAACTGCCCTTAGTTTATTGACATCGCTCATTAAACTGAGCTTCCATAGTAAAAAGACTAGAGTTAAAGTGCGTAGTACAATTTGGCGTATAACCTTCGTTAAAAGTATAAAATACGAAGATTTTTAATGAAAATATTAACGCTCGCTAACTTTTGAGACTATATGAAGTTGGAGTAAACATACACGAGGTTAAGGGTACTGCAATATTGAATGGTCCCTCATCTATAAAAGAGACTCAGACGAATGCACATAGATTATACAGTATTCTGGATTAGTTTCTGCACAGATCATGACTTATAGCCTGTCATCTCAAAGCAGACTAAGGTTACTATACTCTCCCGGCGTCGGGACGTGACGACCCCATCGCCCACCGGTGTATTCCGGTGCAATTAGTCACGGGGGGGAAGGGCCTTGACCTCCTCGTAGTGTCTTGGCCCGGGCTGGGGGTGCAGCCCATGGAGGTGGGTAGGACGAGGCTCGGCGGTGTACACCGCCGCTGCCAAGTTCGGCCCTACGTGTTGGCGGGTGGCCTCGGGCACTGTCGGCGCAGTCCGGCGTCGGGACGTGACGACCCCATCGCCCACTGGTGTATTCCGGTGCAATCAGTCACGGGGGGGAGGGCTGGGGGTACAGCCCTGGGAGTAAGACGGTCACGGATCTGGCAGGAGGCCGTCCGTGGCTGTCTTGGGGGGGAGGGGATACTCGGGTCTCTCCGGAGGCCTGAGTTCGCTTGTGGTCGGTCGGTTTCCTCTCTGTCTGCCGTCGGGCGCTTGCGCTCGTCGGTGGGTGGTTGGAGACTGACCGCGTGGGCTTGGGTGGGAGGGGTAAGGGGTTAACCCTCTCGCGATTAAGCAAGCCCGCCAGGCGGGGGGACACTCCTGGTCACTTGGAGTGAGCTCTCGGGGGGGGAGGTGGCCGTTCGCGGCCCGCCGCCGGATCGTCGCGGATGCATGCTTCGGCGTTTCCCGTGGCAATCCACTTGGCGGCAACGGAGAGTGACCGCTGGTGTTTTAGTGGGTAACATGGGCCCTTCTGGCCGTGAATCCCACATAACCGCCTCTGTCTCCCCTAGACGGAGGGGTAGGTATAAAACCTTTCACCGCGATAACAAAAAAAAAAAAAAAAAGGTTACTATACTCTTCATTGGTCGCCACACATCTCGCTGTAGTGACTTACGTCTTTAAATCTGCTACAATCATAACATAGAATATGTTGTGTTACCATGAACAGACGTCATGATGAACAGAATCCCATGGAGCCAGGGTCAGACTAGCATAATACAATAAAGAACATTACAATGTATCCGATATTGGGGAAATATTTGTTTAATTCTTTTAATTTGTTAATCAAAAATCATGTTTTGTATCGCGCTGTATATGATAGTACCTCATGTCTTTATATTGATGTTCAACAATATTAAAGTAAAAGCGTGGGAGGTAATAGTTGAGATGTAACCTGTTCCGACACAAAATATTTTTATAAAACTTGTTTTATACGTGAAGACACATAGTATAAATGAAACTAACATTTTCGGATTACTACGCAGATTTTATTATTTAAACTACATACTCCCGACGTTTCGATTACTTTACAGCAAACGTGATCACGGACAGACGAGATGTCTCTCGTCATTTAATATAATAAATTACGCGTACTAATGCGAGAAATATTAGCTTCATTTAAATTAATATTCGCGAAAGTCTAAGATTACAATATATGGTATATCTAGTTTGTTCGAATGATCTACTTTTAAATATTATGAGCTATGAAAAAAATTATTTATTTTTGAAAATAAAACTATATCGCGTTTTAAGACTTTTTTATTTATATGTTAAGAAAACCCTAATAAAAAATACTCTAATTTACAGTTGAAAAAAAACCGTACTTCAAATTATCTATCTTTCAAATAAATCTAGTATATAATGTTTTTTTTAGATGACATAATATAGGCGGGTCTCTAATTATCGGTCACCTGACACACCACACGAGTGTCACTTGTCTATTGGCTCCACATGACCTCTACATCCACACATTGACCAGCCAATAATATTGTTAGTGAATGCAAGGCTGACCTCTCACGTACAACTACATATAATGACTGACTGACATTCGATCCAGTTACTGCATTACAATTATTTGCTTAATGACTTTTTAATCCGAGTTTAATTTATGTTGTACCCGTTTGGTTTAACATATTATTATTAATGACCAAGTTTGACTGATTAATATTATAATGAGAATACATTTGTCAGGATAATAAAGATTAAATTTATGTTACTTTACTGTTGAATGACTTTGTAAAAGTGTGTATATAATAAATTTCTCCTTCATGATAAATAATTAGTTCTATTAAATTATAATTTCCATACAAACATAAACTTCTTTATAATCATTACTAGCTTTCCGCCCGTAGCATCCCCCGCGTGGAGTTCGGTTATATCGCGTTTCCAAGAGAACCTTTCAAAATTCTGGGATAAAAAGTATCCTATGTTCTTTCTCAAGGTCAACTCTATGTTTGTACCAAATTTCATTAAAATCAATTCAGTTGTTTAGGCGTGAAAGCGTAACATACACACAAACAAAGTTACTTTCGCATTTATAATATTAGTAGGGATAATTCATATTTCCTCGTAACCTGTTCGCACACATATCTGTGGTCATTCTTCATCGTTTAATTTAGCCATATTAAAATTCATTCTATTTTGTAATATTATAATCAACAATTAATATCTCTATATATAATCGCCTGTCAGATTTATTAATAAATTATAATATATGTATACATAAATGATATAGATTTGTTTGTCTGTTTATAATTGAAACTAAACGACGTCCCGCGGATATTTAAATGACATTTACATAGTTCAGAAAACATTGCTTGTTTGACTGTCTGTTATACTCTAACATGGATTGAGTCAACTTAAATGAATTATAGTTATTAAACTATTGAAGAGATTATATCTCATAAAAAAATAGTAAACAGTTGACAAGAATAAAAAAATCCTTTGAAATAAAAAATAAGAGAGAAAACGAGTATGAAAGAATTAAATATTTATATTTTTTAATTTACATACTCATTTATACCCTACTTCGCCTTCATTGTTTGTTAGAGTAAGCAAAGCTTATGTTTATAGGGAGCGCATCACGTCAGCTAATAGTGAGTGATATAAAAACCGCTGTTTCTTAAACTATTACAGTTATCACAGAAAACTGA